TTACAACCTCATATATGCTTCACTTAGATATATACCTGTATAGATTCAGACATGAATGCAACAACATTTCCAAAAGTTCCAAAGTTAATGATATCTTGGACATCTCTTGCATACTTCTCTCCATCAGAGCCAAAAATACCTCTGTAAGGGTCTGGATAACACTCTATAGATGGGTTCTAGTATCATTATCCATACGGTTTTACATTAGTGCCAAATCAACAAACTGAAACTGAAACAATAAAACTTCTAAAGAAAGAAAAATCAATTGTAACGGTGCGGTATTATTCACGCTACAGGTTGCTCAAATTTAGAGGCTCCTATATGGATAATTACCAAAGTTAGAAGTAAGCTCAAAGTTAGAGGCTCAAATTTAGAGGCTCCTATATGGATAAAGTTAGAAGTAAGCTCAAAGTTAGAAGTAAGACCAAAGTTGAGATAAGGAAAGTTACTAGTTCTGTTCAATTTATACACTGTGGAAGATATGAAAACAATACTTGCAGACTCTGAAGCTTTAAGGAGTGGATGTGAAAGCTGGCTTATGTGAAAAGCAGATTCAAGTGTTTTAAGTTCAAACAAAATCACTGTCAATAATGAAGTACAAAATACCATACCACCATTGTTGTCTTCTGAGCCAACATCGTTGATGATTCATACAATGGACGCAGTACCTCGGGAACGCTCCATGGCTAACAATAGGTGAGTGGATATCAAATTGTTCGCAATATCCTGATATGCGAGCAAACGTTTTTTGATTCTTTGGATAGCCAGATATTGTGATCTTTCCCTCAATATATCCACCGGTTTTCCTTCCGGCTAAAACATCCATTAGAGTAGTCTTTCCGGCACCACTTACTCCCATTAAAGCTGTTAGTACTCCAGGCCTAAATGCACCAGTAATACCTTTCAAAAGTTCGAGACGATCCTCGAAAACTCCTTGACTTTTCATTTCCTGTGGCATGTCTACAGCATATTTAATCTCATCAAAAGTGAAGGATAGTGGTTGAAAAGGAAGAAAGTGAAGAGAGGCGACGTGGGTTGTTGTCACGGTGGAGGGAAGGTGGAGCTTTTAGGGTAGAGGAGATGAAAGGAAATAGAGAAAAGGAAAGGGTGTCGCCGGTGATGTTATTCGAAGATGGTGATAACGGTGAAGGTTTTGGAGAAAGAAGGAGAGAAATAGGGTAATGAAGGTTGTTCTAGGTTTTGGGCATGAAAGGGTTCGTGAAATGTACGGTTTATTGTGAAAAAGAATAAGGGTTTGAATAAAACTTCTTAGATCAGGTGGGCAATACCTGACTTAATAAATATGTTTATTAAGTCAGTTAATGAACACAACCGACTTAAGAAATTTAATAGGAATTATATTTTTTTTCTTTATTTTTTTTAAAGTCAGTTCTAAATGTAACTGACTTAACAATGTTCTAAATATTTACGAAATTGCCACCACATCACTTCTTAAGTCAGGTGGCAGGTGAACTGACTTAACAACCTCTACTATAAAGTATTTTTTCTACTAGTGTATATATTTACTTATTTGGTTGAACCCATTGAGAAATTTATTCTTAATCATATTAAAACATAAAAAGAAATTGGTGAATGAAAAAAATTGATAAAGGAAAAAATATATGTTACTTCAATTTTTTTCCATTCACCATTTTTTGGCAGTAGAAATCATATATTAACTCGGTTCTTTTAGAAACTGAAGTTAAAACCGAAGGAAAAAAAGTCTGTTTATTGAGTTCCTTCGTAAACCTTAAATAAATCTTTGTCGTCCATTTAGTGAGTATCAATGCTCAAGACACTGTCGTTAGTGATTTGCATGAAACCTAAAAGACATCCATTTAAAAGGCTCATGCTACATTATAAAAGCACTCTGAATATCAAAAATTGATCATGAAAGCGTTTTTCATAAAAACTTTGAAGCTTATTTGTCTTATATTAGAAACATTGGAACATTGTTCTCTATGATGGATTGCAAGAGAAGAAAAATATTTGGGTTTAAGGATCAAATATTTGGGTTTAAGGTTTGTGTTCTTAAATAATCATATAACTGAATATTTGTATTATTTATCTAACCTTTTTTGTTTTATTTCAGAAACAAATGCATAAAATATCCAACATTTGATCTTTCCCAAGATTCAATAAAATGAGGATCCAACATTTATTCTTCACCTACAGTAATGATGATGAATCACATTCAGAATTTGTTATATATTTTTACTTTAATATTTTGTGTAAAAAAATGTAATATTTTATGTACACAATGTAATTGTAAACAATTTAATTTAATAATGTGTAAATAATGTAGTTTATGTTCTTTAAAAATTATTTTTTCTTCGGTTTTGGTCATAATCCGAGAGGTATGTGGCGCTAGTTTTGAAAATATAAAAAAAATTTTAACGGGGATCGAACTAATGACTATTTCAACTATCCTCTCAGTTATTCAGAAATCGAGGAGTAAAGTGACAAGTTTTTATGATACCCTTCACGTCTAACATAACATGTACTTTTTGTAACAGTGAAACAAGCATGAAAGTAACTTGTGTTAGTATCTCATTTAAGCAAAGCTTAAGTCAAGTTTCCTTCGACTGTCAAAACAATTGAGTGTAAGACAACGAAGGAGCTCACCAAACTCTTGGCAGATTGTCGATCTAAATCCCAACTCCTCAAGCGAAAGGTCAGACATCTTCACCTTTAACTCACACACCTCCAAATTATTCACCCACCTCTTAATTTTAAAGTCCATATTACCAAACACCTTCTTATTCCACACCTGAACACCTTAAGACACATCTTAAGAGCCTTCAGCCTATCTCTAAGAGTACACATCATCCAACGAGCATGAATTCCTGACCTCCAAGAGTCCCAAACCACCGACTCAAAAGCAAGATTGCCCAACTAAAAGTTCAAGGAGAATTAAGACAAACTCTAGATATCATGTTAGACCGACATAGATTACATCCCAACAATAACCTCAAAGAATAAAGTTGTTAAAACACATTTATACATCCAACAGAATGAAAACCTAAGTAATGTAGAACTTCAATATAACTTCAGCAATACCAGTTCACTCAGCCTAATAGCTAACATGTATATTGGTCTAGTTCTCACATTATATTTTTTAACTCATTCTTTAACTTGACTCATGATCGTGAAAACTATAAGAGATATATAATAGAGATAACTTATACAATAAAAAGCAAAAACAAAATATAAAAAATTAAGTCCAATTATAATATAAAAAAGTATTACATATATAACAATATTAAGAAACAATATTTCTTTGAAAGAAGTTCAAGACAGAAGGCATCTCTATTCTATTTAATTTAAAGATGGCTCTGACTTTGGAAATGAAAGTAAAAGATACCAAGTTCAAGATCTCACATGCTTAAGTTCATAAACAAATGTAGTAGTTGTTAGAAACCCATACCTCAATAATATAGGTCAAAATCATAACAATACTACTATAACCGTATCATTACAAATAAGCAAAGTCAAGGAAATTTCCATTATCATATTTTCTGTGTAAGGATCATCATCATCATCATTATTATTATTATTATTATTATTATTATTATTATTATTATTATTATTATTATTATTATTATTGACTGTATTAAATTTCCTAAACAAAGTAACTGAATCATTTTGAATTTTGATTGTCTTAATCAGCTTTTGGAGTAGGTGTCTGTAATTATCCATTTAAGTATATAATGGCCAAATGTACGATAAGTACATTTCAGAGAAACTATTTGTAATAAGTTAACAGTTGTGGCATATAAAATCTGCATTTCACTATCCGCATGCGCATGCAAACGTGTGCGTGACAATCAATATTTTGAAAATTGTGATTGTGTGTTTAGTCTAATTAATACCACTCTTTAAGAAGAAAATAAGATTTTTTTCAATTAAAACGAAAAATAAATTAAATCTCTCTTTGGTAGTTCTCAAAAATTAATTTTAACAATAATTTTTTTAATTTAGTTTTAAGTTATGACCAAATATATATAAAGTTATATACTAATACAGAAATTATATATAAATTATAATAATTGAAAATTTTGTTTATCATCTTGAATATTATTTAAACGAATATTTAGGCATGAATTATTATAATTAAAAAAGTAAATAGAATAAAAGTTAGTATTTAACTTTTTAAATAATTTTAAACAAATGTGTAATTATATTAAAAAGTCTAAAAATATTTTTTTAGTACTTGCAAATTTTCCATAAACTCTCAGTCAATGTTTGCAGATTTTCCATTGTACTTTACAAATATATTACTTTTTCCATTTGGTTTTTGATGTTATAGTCCTTATAAATTATATTTATACTAAAATTTATTTATGGCATGTTCATTTTAATTATTGTCTTGTGGAACTAAAATTAAATATTCATATATCAAATAAATAAATTTAATTTGTTTTATTTTTTCAAATAATACAACAAAGGATCAAAAGTAAAAAAATAGATATATTTAAAAAGATTAAAAATAAAATAATTTAATTTTTTCAAAGATTTCAAATATCACTTACATATTTAATCGATAAGAAATACATAAAATATATATTTTTACATGCTTTTTATCTCTAAAACAATAGGATCTATCAAATAAAAGTTGATTACATGGAATGAAATGAAATGACTAAATTTTCTTAAATAATAATTAACTAAGAACACTGTCAGATTTATTTTATTTATTTTTATAAAAAAGAATAATTACATAAAATCATTCACTTGCCACACTTAATTTTATATGATAACTTTAATTTCATAAGTATATAACCCAAATGATTAAACTAGTTAGCATGCATTTCTAATAGTACTTTAGAACACCAAATATAATCATTCCCCTGTCTTATATTCAGTTGAAAGGATAAAATAATGGCATTTTCCATTTCAAAAAGAAAGTGATACAATTAGATCCACAACTTTAAGCACATTTGAGCTAAAGTGGTGTCAATTCCTTCAAATCATCATCATCTACAATTTAATCTACAACTCTATGCACTTGTGGGGTTCACATTAGTACTCAATCTTTTCCATTCCACCAATCGCCGCAAAAAATTCTCAACCTGTATTATTCATTTGCAAAAAAATTACTATCTTTTATACATTTCTCATATTCACAATTTATTTAATAATTAATTAATATACATCTATTACAAAAATATTTTACATGAATTTTTTTTTTTATATATTACCTCTGATGGATCTTGCAGTGTGTAGGAAGCATCTGTTTCTTTTGGAACACTAGAAACAAGAATCCCAACCCCTTGACCCCTTCTACTCAAAACCTAATAATTTTCATATATAACCAAAATTAATAATAATATTTTTTTAAATCAATAGTAAAATAAATAAATAAAAATTAAAGGTGGTAACATTGTTTTTTTACCTTAAAAGCATCCTCATCAGTTCGATCATCACCGATGTAGATTGGAAAAACATCATTAGAATTCTCATATCCTATATAAATATAATTAATTAGTACACATCATAATATAATTTTTAGTCAAAGCAATGATAATTTTGCATGAGTGTGTACTACACTTACCTAACGATTCCAACAAAAACTCAAGAGCTTTCCCTTTGTCCCATTTGATAGTGGGACGAATCTCCAACACTTTTCTTCCTTGTGTTAATCTAAGTTTTGGATATTCATTCAGTACCAATCTCACTTTCTCAGCCAAAGGAGCCCAACTCTAAAAAGTAAAAAAAAAAATTAATGTTTTTTATTTGGTAATTCTGGTACTAACCATGTTGATCTTGATTATTATTAAAATTAAGCACCTTTTCGTCAACACATCGGAAATGCACGGATAAGCAATATTTGTTGTTCTCTACCATGGCTCCGGCGACAGATTTTGTTTGTTCTAACAAAATTTTATATACCTCGTCGATCATTGGAAGGAATTGACGTGCGGGTTGGAACAACACTGCTTTGTTACTCCTATCACTTTTACTCTGAAACATAGTAACAACTCGCAAAGTTAAGTAGGAAGAACAATACTAAAGAGAAAACTATTGAAAACAATATTAATTAGTGATGAAAATTTAATCATCTCACTTTTTCAGCATTTCGGGTTTTTGTTGGTCCCATGATGTCCATACCATGGCTTGCTGCATAGTATAACTCCGCCAATTTTACGAAGTTAAATACCTGAAGAAAAAAAAATTGTAATGAGAGTTTTTTTATTAGATATTTACTTTAAATTGTGTTGTCTTTTGATTTTGAAGAAAATGTACCTTGTCTCTGCACCTTCCGGTCACTATTGCTGTAGGGAAATTTCTTGCTACATCCTTAAGCGTTCCTCTCATCTATTTTGATAAATTTGAAAATAAAATAAGAAAATTAATATTAAAAAAAATCATAAGCATAAACTTTATTTTATGGAAATAAAAAATAAAAAACCTTTCTAGTCATGAAAGCTTTATCTGGATCAGCAACAATAGGAGAGAGAGTTCCATCGTAGTCGAGAAAAAACACAATCTGTTTTCCTTTTGCACTAAACAATATTTGATCAAACAATTTCAGTGCTGAAGGATGAAAAAGCTGTAAACACAAACAAGAACATAGTCACATGAAAATAACAAGAACGTTAAAAAATAGAACTTGTTAAATTTTATGAATTATGTGCTTACAATCCATGAACATTTTTCTTGATAATTTTCCGAAGATTTGACGCGAGTTGGAGAAGCGGCTCTCATTGAATCAATCCAACCAGTAACATTGCTACCTTCCAATCTCTTAATAAAATTGTTATGAGAGAAACCCAAAAGACCACCGATCACCGCCATAGATTCCGGCGCGGTTGCTGCACTAGGCAAAACCACGGTGGAGATAAGCGTGTTAATGCATGACTTAACTTCAGGTGTCACCACTACATTATTCTGTTTGGTCATCTTAGAGAAAAGAGAGTTGACAGAAGAAACAGATATTAAGTTATGAAGTTCTATGTTTATGGCTGTTTCTTGTGATGAATGAAGGCTTTATATAGAAAGAAAGAAAAAAAGTTTAAAGGAAAATAAAAAATAAAAATAATAAAATAACAGATTTGGTTACTTGGCTAGCTCAGAAACGAGGTTGAGGTGTGTCTTTCTGTGGGGTCCAACGCCAAAAACAAACGAAAAAACAAATGTTTATTGTACTTCTTTGCAGTTATACTAAATATGTGAATGGTGGGACCCACTATTTTTTTTAATGTTGTAAAAATGAGTGGATGAATAATGAATTTATATTATTTACTCCCCTTTCCTATAATAAAATGATTTCATTTATCATTCCACACGAATTAAGAAAAAGAGATAATTGAAAGAGAGAATGATATTTTTCTTAAATTATTTTTATTATGTATTGAAAATGAAAAAAATAATATTAATTAAACTGTAAATTGAAAAAAAAATGTATTAGCAATTAAAATGGATCTTTTATTTTAAATCTCATTGTGAGTCGGAGAAAGTAACTTCTTAAGATTTAGTACACCATTTTTAAATTGGGGATTGTTTAAGGCCCTTAGGCATTTTTTTTTTCGGAAATACATATTAGGTTTTAAGGTTATGCCATTGTATTTTAATCCGACTTTAAGGTTATGTCAAAAAAAATTGTAGAAATGTATTTTCAGATAATTTACATCTTCGAACGCTATTTTAATCAAATACATATTAGGTGTTTTACTTTCTCATTTCTCTTTTAGTCTTTTAGGTCACAAACTCTCTAAATTCTCAAAATCTATCAACTCTCAAACTCATTCAACTCACTTCAAAATTTCTTCAATCATCAAAGTGCTCACTCAACATCAAACTAAACTCACATTCGCTAAATTTTTTTTATTTTTCTATACTTTTTTTTATTTCTATATATATTTGTAGAAATTGAGCATTAGATTATGTAAAAGTAGTTTATATATGTTATTTAAACGAGTAATGTGTTTGATAGATAATTTAATGATCAATGCATTATTTTGGATGTTGGAATGGACTGCATTTATGTTATTCTAAGTGTATTTTGAACGCTTGGTATTAAAAGATATACATTTTTCAAGCGTACACATTTCAGAGTTAGACGTGTCTCTTTGACGACATAACCTTATACTTTAGATGGTTTGTTGGTTTTCATACCTGCTTGAGTGCGTCACGCAGAAGTTCCACTACATGCAATTTATTTACAAAGACCCCTCTAATTCTTCTCCTCTCGCTATGGTACGTAGAGATGTAGATGTCGTGTTTAATGATTATCTTAATCATTTGGTGCTAGATGGGGCACAAAGTACCATTGCTCCTAATGAATGGAGTGTTGCACACAACTACATCTAGTAGTATTTCAGGATGTCACGTCCTTATATGACATTGAATAATCTAAGAGATTCACTTAGGTCAACTCATCAGGAGATACTGAAGAAATAGCAGGGTATGACAGATCATGTTGTTGATGTATTTTCTAGATGTCAGTATATTGTGAATATGGCGCAGACTGGTATAGACAGAGAAGTTTTTCTCAAAGGCTCTGAGGCGAGAGACATTCTAGATGCCATCATGGAGGAGGCACGACAGAAATTGCAATACAGGAGGCAACATAGAATAGGGGGCCGAGTCCAACATAAACTATTGTATTTTATTTTGACTTCATTATGTATTACAAATTTATTAATTTATATATGTCATTTTCATATTATTCCGAAAGTGTATGATTTAATTTATATAAAATTGAATATGATAGTATAGTTATAATACATCATCAATTTCATCAGTATATCTTTAAAACAAAGTGAAAAATTATTGTCTATTATGAATATGGAAATGCATTTTTGAATTATGTTCGGTGGTGAACAGAGATGCATTTCTAAATTAATTTATATCAAAATGAGTGTGTTTCAGCTATAAATGCATGAGGTGCGTATAGAAGAATTTGAAGATGCATTTTCAAACTAAATTTTGACAAAAATATATAATGAGCAAAACTCATTTATGACGTATTTTGATGTGAAAAGAATACATCTAAAAATACATTTCTAAAATTTGAATAAACATTTCAAATTTTCATATGTGTTTTCATTAGTTTAGAATAGTTCCCATTAAATTTTATTTGTCTTGTATCTAGAGATACATGGACAACCTCGCTAGAATCAAAATAAAACTAAAAATGGACAACCTCGTTTAGGAATGAGGTACTACTGATGTTTCATTAAAAATTGAGCACAAGGGGTATGTTAATTGTTTTGTCATCTGAAAAGATTCGAACTTTGGTTATTGGGACATAATTATAATGGTTAAATTAAGAGGAACTATATATAATATTCTAGAGAATCTCTAAACATGGCACGATAATTGAATAGGGAAAGAGAGATTTGGTTTTTCTTTTTCTTATGGAAATCATTTCTAAAATGGATAATGTTAGATTGGTAATTTTTGTTAATAAGACTGATATTCTTTATGTCCTTTTGATGGAGAGAGAAAAAATTAAATAAAGAAAAAGATGGAAAAATAGAATAAAGGAAAAGATGGAAAAAATTGAATAAAGATAAAGATGAAATACAGTAGTGATTTTTAAATATGAGAGAAAAAGAAAAGAGAAATTATATAAAATGTTCAATGAATCAGAATTATCTCTTTATAAACAATAAAGTAGTCCATATATAATTACTAAATTACTTATTTTGAGTTATTTTCGATCAAAGCTAATTAGTATTTAGTAAATAATAGTGGCATAATTTTTCATAAAGAGAATATATGATAGTGATACGATCATGTCATGTGTTTGATACATACATGAAAAGAAATTTGATATTATTATTTTATTTCTTATGTGTTTGATATATTTTCAATAACGAAATTAAATGATATATATTATATTTAAATTATTAAAGTACTCTTTTAAAGAAAAAGTACATGTATTTTATTAAATTATTTTTAAATACACATTAATAAGGAAAAAACAAAAAAAAAAGTTTAAAATAATACTATTATTTTATATAACTTTAATAAAAATCTGTATTGCTATTAAATAATTAATTTTAATTTTAAAAAACACAAGTAAATAAGTAACTCATTATACATGTGAAGGTGGAAAAAACACAACAACAAAAAAGAAGAAGTTTTAAATTGTGTTGACTACTTAAAAAAAAATTTTAGTTCCTTTTAAAAGAAACTTAAGTAAAACATAAATGTTAAATGATAAAAAGATAAGAAAAACAAAATTAACATCCATAAAATTTATACTAGTTCATCCTCTTAATTTAAAACTACGTTCAGTTCCTTACACCAAGATTAGCATTATAATCAAAATGATCACAATATTACTAAAATATTTTCCGATCCAACTGATATATAACTTAGATTTCTTAAACACATAGAGTTAATTTCAATTGGATCTCTTTGTGGTCTCAAAGAACATGACTAACGCATAAACATTTGAGAAAATACAATCAAATAGATAGATCATTGATATGGTGTTTATAAATATCATTAAACATATGATGAAACAATCTTAAGCATAAATACAAGTTTATGAATATTTCAACAGAAAGCGTATACACACTACTACAAAGTATACATTTCGTAACATTTTATTACACCGACATTCAAATCAATCGAATAATAACTCTTATTTAGGCACCTTAATTTTTTATTTATTTAATAAAACACTTTTGATCACGACCCAATCTATTAATTGCGGTGATAGATTAAGGGTTTGTTTGGTTCAATCGAGGGGAGGGGAGGGATTTTAATTATATATATGATTGGTTCAAAATATAAAATGGGAGGGAAGAGGAGACATCTTATTTACAAATATGTTTGGTTCACAAGGGGATGAGAAGTATTTTAAAACTAATTTACTTTTTTATCCTTCTACTTACCACAAGACTTATGATATTTACCGCTTATAATTTAAATACAAATTTATTGACGAAATATAAATATTCAATCAGAGATCATCACGAAATATTTTATAAAAGCGTAACGATTATAATATATAATTGGCTAAATTACAGTTTTGGTCTCCCTATTATTATAAACAAAAACATTACGATAATTAAAAATTAAAATTAAAATATAAAAAATAAAATAAAAAAGTTTAAACATATATAATGATAAAAAGATGAAGATATAAAAATACAAAAAACATAAAAAGAAAGATTAAATTTGTTCAAAATAAAAATTTTAACATTGTTATAAGTTAAATTTATATTTAAATAAATAATAAGGGTAAATATGTAAATATAATCATAATTAAAATCAAACACCTCCCCTCCCCTCCATATCCCTCCAAATCGGGAAGAAGTAAAAAGTGGTTCAGGAGGGATTTTGATCCCCTCCATCTACCTCCCCTCCCCCTCTTAATATTTGAACCAAACACATAAATTATTAAATATTTCTTCCCCTCCCCTCCCCTCCAGTTACCCCCATCCAAACAGACCCTAAGGGTTACACGCTTTGATTCCCAGCAGCAGAAATTTTCCTTTTTTTGTTATAAAAAAGGCGTCTCTCATTAATTTGTATATTTATATTAAAATTAAAATATTTTTCACCACAATCATTTCTACCAATCATAGTGAAATGTGACATTTATTTTTTCAATCTAAGTGAGTTTAGTTTTCACACTCACAAAAATTTAGTTTTCACAATAACACAAAATTTACTTTTTACAGACACGGTTTTTACAATCTCATATACGCTTTGTGTGCAATATTTTCATTCATTTTTCCTATACCTTGAAAATTTTGGCATTAAAGATCAATGTTAAGATTCAAGCATATTGTTTACTTCATAAATTTAATCTTAACATTAACTTTTAAATCAAGTTTTTCAATATCCTGTATTAACTTTTAAAGAATATGGTGCAGGTTGAAAACATAATGAGTTAGGTTTAATAAAAAGGTGAATGACGTGCTTGTTCAGTTTTATAG